ACCACAGTATTTGCACTATGATTATCTGAAGAAGTGATCTACTCTAGGTAACACACATACCTTTTTCTTTTTTTGTTCTAGTATCTGCTAAACAGGCTTTTGCACTCCCCAGTGCTACCAGCCATCTTTGCCTTTCAGCTGCATTAACTGCTTTCATATAGAAATGCTGCTCCCCTGGGATGATTAGCTCCATTCTTGTGTTGTCTGTTGCATGAACTTGTGATAGAAGAGAAAAAAAATTGAAATAATAATAATAATCTCAACTCGGTAACAATCATTTATTAAACACTGCTTGAAGTGTTTTAAAATGCTTATGATAATCTCACAGTAATACAGTAAATCACAATGCACCACTGCTTAGTAAGGAAAAGCCCAAAGCTGCTCAACCTTTCTCCCCCTTTCCTTCACCAAAAGAACAAGGTTACAAGCAAAATCAACTGGAATGGCAAAAAAAAAATTTAAAAATGTGATCCTCCTCTCTTTACTTCACTGATTTAATCTACACTAAAGAAACACTAACAAAAAGCAATTACCACATGAAAAATACCTAGTGGCTCATGTAAAGTAAAAATTAAGTTCCACTTTTTAATATGAAATTACCCACATCACAAGCTCAGTCACCTGTGAGGATCTAGAAAAAAGTCATAGTTAACAGCAACAGGAAGCTAGAAAACACCTTGCTATTAGCCAAGGAGGCTGATCTACAGTTAGGAATACAGTAAAGACTAAACTCTAACTTTGGAATAAACAGTTCACTTACTATCTCAAATATACCCATCACCCGTGCATGTGCACAGCTGGTAACAGTGACAAAAGTAAAAATTACTTGGGAAACCAAAAGACTAAACACTTCTGGTTTATAGAAATCTCCACTTTTGGATCACTGCTGCTGCTCTTCTGGAAAACCGGCTTTTATGATTCAGTCTCTGTCCCTGGTCATAATAGGAAAAAGTAGCAGAACTAAACAGCCAGCTGACATAACTTTAAGCATGAACCTTGTGCACATAACTATTAAAAACAAAGAGTAATAAATGGTGTGTTCTAAATCTCAAAACACAATTCTAGTAACATTCTTTATTATTTGTGAACTATGAAGCTGGCACACTGGACTACAAGCAAACAAAAACAGAGGAGGAAAAACATGTGATGCAAAAATGTATGATTGGCAATATTTTCTATTTCTATGGCAGCTAAAATTTTCTCAAGCAGAACTCTATTAATTCTTACCTTTTATTTCACACACAGCCATCTTTATACTTCCTTTGCTGCCTTTGCAAACATCATCCTGGGAATCATAGTATGACAATATCCCATTGTCTAAAACAAACCACCGAGGCTGCCAACCTGGAGAGATGAAAAATGTGAAAGTGAAGTTTTAATTCCTAAATTGTAAATCAAATTAATCTCTTTGTTTGTTAAACTTTAATAAAAGAGGCAAAGATTAAATTATTCTTGTAACACACTAGGAAGTAAACAATCTGTGCAGTATGAAGACCAGAGCCACTCTATAACCAGACTAGTGTTATGTGGATATTTCACTCCCATTCTTTTTGGGTGCAAGATCAGCAACTCTCTTCTGTTTTCACTGTATTCCATTCTAGAGAAAAATTAAATTTTAATTAAGCCACCATGGAATTCTGTTTTGAAGGTTGTGTTGAATTACATACCTCTGAAAAACCATTCTCATTCAGCTATATTTTTCAGGCAGATTTTTCTAAGATTGTAGAAACTTATTTGTAAGATACAAATAAATGACTGATGCCACCAACTGCTATGCTGTGTTGTCCTTTAGCTACTGTATTTCAGTGAAAACTTTATATTTCACACTTACGTATTCACACCTTCTCCGTTTCTACAAATAACCTAGCACTAAAATATTCCAGTAGAGCGTAACAATGACACTGGCCCATTATACTCTCTATACTGCTGTACAACAGGAGCAGATTATCCCTCTATTTTACAACTTGACAGCAAACTTTAACTTCCTGCTTGGTTTAGGGTTTGGAATGGCAAAAACTGTGTGGCCAAATACCTCTAGGTATTTGGTGATATGACAGTGTGGCCCAGGGTGCCTTCCAGCTGCCACCCCAACAGAGCAAGCTGAGGCCATCCAGCAGCACTGTATTTTAACACAGGAGGCTAAAGCAGGTACCAGACTCAGAAGCCAGCTTCAGGTTTCATACTATTCATAGCATCTTAGAATCATTAAAGGTGGGAAAAGATCTCAAACATCAACTAGTCCAACCTTTAACCAATCACCACCTTGTCAACTAGACCAAAGCACTAAGGACCACATCCAATTGTTTCTTGGACACCTCCAGGGACGGTGATTACCACTTCCCTGGGCAGCCTGTTCCAATGCTACCCCTTCCATGAAGAACTTCCTCCTGATCCCCAACCTGAACCCCCCATGGCGCAGCCTGAAGCCGTTTCCTCTCGTTCTGTCACTTGTTATCTGTAAGAGGCTGAGCCTGACCTTGGCCAGGCTCCAACCTCCTGTCAGGGAGTTGCAGAGTGATAAGGTCACCCCGAGCCTCCTCTTCTCCAGGCGGAGCCCCCTCAGCTGGCACAGCTTCTTGGGGTACGACTCACTCTTCACCAGCTCCACTGCCCTTCTGGGGACACTCTCCAGCACCAGCATCATTACAAGTTTTAACACTAATTCATGAAAAGTAAGACCAGGCTGCATTAAATCACATAACCATTCCATGTTAAAGAAATAGTAACATGTAACTGTGTATTGTTTCTTTTTTGTTGTTTACTAGCTTAACAGTAAGTACAGGTGTCTTTTTAAATGAGTGGTAACTAAAAAGCATGTCCACACTCAAAAGCAGAATGTTAAAAACCACAAACTCTAAAGGATAAGAACTCATACAGGAAAAATTTCAAGTGGTGTGTGTACGTCAACACTAAAAGAATATGCAATTCAGAAGACTCTGTCCTGTAAAATGCAACTGAAAAATGCACAGATCTTTTTTTCTGCTACAATCTGTTGCAAGATTGTACTGTCTTTATCTCCTGTAAATAAATGCCTGTCAAAACAGTCCTACTCTGCTAAAAAGGAAACCTACATGAATGACTATTCCATCCTCACATTATTCTAATATTGGAAAAAAACAGAAGTAAAGGATTTAAAAGGCCACACAGAAGCAAGGCAAAGAACAAAAGCACCTCTTGTAATTTGAAACTGGGCGGTATCCTACATTTGAGAAAATATTTAACAAATTTGTACTTCACAAATTCTTATTTGAGGAGAAAAAAATAAAAAAGCAGCTGTATTTCTGGTTTGCTTTTAATGAAGGAAGAAATTAAATGTTTTCCATAACACTTAAGCAACAATAAAGCTCCTTTGCTGCTTGGTGTCTAGCATTAATGACAAGTACTACAGCCTATATTTCGCCACAAAAACAGATACTATACAGACAGCAGAGTAACAAGACAGACAGTAACAAAACTTAAACATTTCACTAATATGATTACTTTTTAAAAAAACGCTGCCCTCCTACGTTCTGGAGATTTTAGGTAATCCCTGACACATTAATTTTGAAATTCAGGAGCAGATGCTCTCTGTTGGCCACCATAAGCCTAAGGAAGGGTTCTGAAGTTTGCTGGTTCAGAGGAGTACTGGATTTCAGCAGAAATTAGCTGCATGCTAACAGTCTATTGTGTGTATAGCATTCACAGCTACTGGTGAGTATTTGCTTATTAAATAAAATAAGAGCAAACACCACAAGAGTTCACTGCCTTTCTCCATTTATCTTTTGCTACAGCAACATTTTCAATCATATAAGTGAAAGTGACAATTTTCATTGTTTTGAAAACAGAATTCCACATATGAAGTGCTCAAGAACCAGAGGGCACAGAAGATACTGCCAAAGCAGTGTAACAAGAGGCACGATTAAGCACGGTGTGTGATCTAACGCTGATCTGCTTGGGAGAGACAATTAGTCTTATCACAGTGTCAGCGAAGAAATATTTCACCTTGACACCACTGCCTGCCCGCTGCCTGCTCCAGAGGGAGATGGAGTCTCTATTACAGCAGAGGATCAGCCAAACAAAACCAGGCAAATGCTAGCATTTGGCGCACTTTTTGTCTGCAGAGCTTCCAAAAACGCACTTAATAAACCTACATCTCATCATGTGTGTTCCAGTTTGGGATATAGGAGCTCCCTGTCCTGCTGAGAGTCTCTGACTAACTCGGCAAGGCGCAATCCAGGTCGCGAGAGAGGCTCGGCAGAAGGCCCGGGGCAGTGGGTTCACCTGGCTCCGGCCCGGCCCGGGTGAGCGTGGGGAGCGCTGGGGCTGCTCCGCCAGGCGCGTCCCCCGGCCCAGACCCGGAGCCGCCTCCAGGCGCCGCCGCCCCGGGGCCGCCTCCGTCGCGATGCTCGGCCGCTCGCCGGGGCTCGGCTCCAAGCACAAATGTCTCAGCCAACGCGTTACCGACAGCTCCGGCCGCCCGCCGGGAACCCCCGAGGCAGCAGCAGCACCTGCGGCGCATCACGGCCGAGGCCGAGGCGAGCCCTAAACGGCTGCCCCCCGGGCCTGCCCCCCGCGCCTACCCGCTAGATAGTTGGTCCACTTGTACAGGACGCCCTCCATCGCTCAGAGCCCGGCACCGGGCCGCATCCTCCTGCTCCGCCGCGGGGTACGAGCGGCCGCGGCCGCCGCGGGGATGGCGCTCCCCTCCCGGCCCCGCCGCTGCCTCCCCCGCGCGGAGGCGGAGCCGCTCAGCTCAGGCGCGGCGGCCGCGGCCGCTCCGGCGGCGCCGCCCGCCCCGCGGGGCGCTCTGCATCCCCCATGCGCGCCCCGCCGCGCTCCCTGCCCCGCCGCCCCGCGGCTCCTTCCGACGTCCCTTCCACTTCCTGAGCGGAGAGGGCGGCCCGAAGAACCGCCCGCCCCGCGGCCGCTGCCTGGGCCGGGCTCGTCCGCACGTCCGGCGCGACTGAGGCGGGGCGGCGGCGCTGGCTCGGCCCCCGGCGCGCCGGGGACAGTGCCACGCCGGCGGCCGCCTAGGAGCGACATGGGCCGTGGGCTGCCCCTGCTCCTGCTGGCGCTGCTGGCGGCCCCGGCGCGGGCTGAGGGCGGCACGGCGGCGGCGGAGGAGGTTCAGATCGAGGTGCTGCACCTCCCCGAGGCCTGCAGCCCGAAGAGCAAGAAGGGCGACCTGCTGAACGCGCACTATGACGGGTTCCTAGCCAGCGACGGATCCAAGTTTTACTGCAGGTGAGCCCCCTGGCAGCGGGTCGGAGGACGGGCGGTGGGCCCTGCCCGGCGGGGTGCACCCCACGCACCCGAAGCCGGGTAAACGGGACTCGGGGCGCTCCGGGCGGCGGCGCAGCTCGGGCCCGCACTGACCACACCAGCAGCAGTAATTTCTCCCCGCCTCAGCCTTCTCTTTTCCTTAAGCGAATGTTGAAGGGTGCAGTTTCCCTAGGGTCAAGCGGAAGCGCAGAGGCAAAAGATGGAAATCAAAGACTTTACTCGAGGCTGGTGGCCGTCGCCAGTGAAGGAGCCCGACACGGAAAAACTTGGAGAGCCTGTAGCCCACACCTGACATGGAGACCCTCGTTGGCAGGGTAGAAAAAAGCCCCCATCATGTTGATATTTGCTGTGCTGTAATACGTGCAGAAAAACTCGGCTTGGTAGGAGGAGCTCCTGGTAGGAATACACACTGACAATTTTAGGCAGAAACTTTTATATAGCATGCACTCCCACATAGTTGGCACTGTGCAGTGCCAGCCACATTATTACAGTAGTGGTTTGCAGCCTTTTTGCCTCGTCCCTTTTGCTGTTTCCCTTCTTGATTCATTGTGCCATCCATTTTACCACAAAGTTATTATTTAGGCTTTTGCTTTTTCATTTTGCCTCATCCATCTATTCTCAGACAATAGCTTTGCACATCGCAAAAATCCTGATCCATTCCCCCACTTGTATAATTCAAGAAAAAAAATCAGTATAGCCTAATTCTACATTTAACAGTACCATTTCACTTGCATTTCTTTGCCTGTTGAAGTGAGAGCGTACCCAGTGCTCTCTGGGTGTTTTGCTCAGTTGCTGTTTTCTGCAGTGCACATTCTGGGGATGTCTCATACGACCAGAAGCTGTCTCAAGCACTGGCTATCTGACCTGGCCCTTGGCAGGTGAGCACACAGTACTGTAGCTGACATTGCCAGGTTTCCCCAGCACACACCTGCACTCTCAGTCCCATCCCATCCTACAGTGTTGTGAACTGCTAAAGACATTTTCACTTTCTAGTGCTCCCCACATTCCTCTTCTTGGAGACTTTCTGCAGTGGCACCTTGTTTCTGGCATGCAGTGTACATGATCAGGAAGATTGGATGTTTTTGTAAGAAGTTCAAAAGCAAGGGTTTTATTTTTTTTTAGTTCAAAAAGGAGGTTTCCACTTATATTTATCTCAAGATTTGACCTTAAATTATAAATGTAGCAGAAAAAGTGTTTATACTTTGTATTCTTGCACTCTAAACATTCTTGTGTGTTAATAATCCATATTCTTACTGACTGTAACTAAAAGTTATATGTATGTAAAAAAATACTATATTAATGTTACTCATACAGAATTTTTTTTTTAATAGTCGGACGCAAAATGAAGGCCATCCAAAATGGTTTGTTCTGGGTGTTGGACAAGTCATAAAAGGCTTAGATATTGCTATGATGAATATGTGTCCTGGAGAAAAACGGAAAGTGACAATTCCTCCATCATTAGCATACGGACAGCAAGGATATGGTAAAACAGAAGTTTTAAAGCTAAACTTTGTCTTTCCTGTGTTTTTGCCCTTTCAAACATACAGTATTGTAGATGTCTGTAAGAACCGGTGCTCCCATTTGGAGTCAGTGCAGCTGTGCAGCCCCAGTCCTGCCCATTGCTACATGGGTTCAGAAGTCCTGAGCACAGACCCACACCCAGGCCTTGCAGTTTGGAGCTCAGTGCATGCCACCCAGTTCGTTTTCCCAAGTACTGCCACAGTGTGAAACATGGGCAGCAAAAGGAAGATCTCCTGGAGACACATCAGCATTATTGTGTTAATCTATTACATTCCAGTCACATTTGGTTTTTATTATTTGACTGCTGCCTGTTTAGCCTTTTAATGACAATCTGCATCTTCTGAGTAAAATGGAATATAATGCAGTGCAATTAATCTAAGTAGAAATAATTTGCTTAAAATACTGCTTATGTTCTGAATAGTTAATGGCTCTCATTATCACATTACACAGTAATTGTAACAGTGCAATTCATTAAACCTGATTTGAATATAAGATAATTCAGTGTGCAGATTACTTTTTATAAGTTCCAGTACAAGTCTTATGCAGTGTTTCAGCACTTAAATGTAGATGAATTCAGTTCTGACATGGGTGTAGTAGTTTCTGTGAAAAGGCAACTCTTGCTCTATAATAATACTTTGGTACTGATATCTCAGGATTCAATGCATCAGTTTTGTCTTCAATACAATTTCATACAAAAAGGAAAAACACCAATTCAAATAAAAAATGTTCTTTAATACTAGTATTAACTATTTGTTCCAGGTAGCACTTGAAGGAAGTAGTATTTCCCTACAGCACACCTGTCTTCTGTCTCAGCGTATTCCTGCATGCTGGGGAAGATGCCTACCTAATCTTGAACTAGAAAAGTGCATGTGGCTTTCTAAATCTTTACATGTCTTTCCTTTGTTGGTATGTATATTTGTAAACTACTGGCACTGAATTCTAGTACTGTATTCTTTCTTTTGTAAGTGGTATTTAAATCATTATTTATATTCAGATGTATTTAAAACTTCTACTTTCCTAAAGCGTGGAAGGTTAAAGCCTTTTGAACTCTGAAACCTGTCATTTTTACTATGTCTATTTTAGATGAGTAGTGTAATAGTTTTGTTTATCTTCTGTTTACAAACAGTATAGATTCTTCAGTTTATGGAGGATGGACACAAGCTCAAAATTCTGAGGTTACAACATCATGCTCACTGGCTTTGGCAGCTTGCATGTTTACATTTTAATTTTACATTGCATGATTTCTTTATGCTCTTTTGGCACTATTTTTAGACTGCATTGGTTTGTTGCTGTCTCTTCTCAGTTCCCTTTTTTTTGCCAGATACATGATATATGGACCTGTGTTTGTAGGCAGTGCTGGTTTTAAATCAGGTGGCAGAAAATACTTTGATCTAGGAACAAAGAATTCTAACGGTTGTTCTCTTAATTTAGGAGCCAAAGTATTCCAGTAGTTTGATGTTTCTGTGGGGTTTTTTTGCAAGTCAGATGACTTACATTCTGTTGCTGCTTTTTGAGATGTACATTTTAAACACTGTTTTACAGCATACGTAAAATACCTTTTACCATAGATATAATTCATACAAAGTAGGTAGAACATGATATTGTCTGCTTATTTCTTCAGACAGAAAATGCATAGGAGCACTGATCTACTACTGTTATATTTTAAATCAGCTTGCAGCTGTTTAATAAAGACTTACATCTTAGAACCAGTCTCTAAATAAGCCCTGTCATGTGACAGGATGTGAAAGAGTGAGAACTTTAGAAGTACTCGTTTTTCATGATAACCATTCACCTAATCTCTGAAAGTACCTGAATTGGTATGCAATACACTTTTGTTTCAGGCAGGTACATGATCAGCAAGTTTCCTCCAAAATAATTTATCTAACACAATCAATCTTCCTGTCTAGATGTACATTTAAATTCAGAGTTTAATCTGAACATTAACACTGCCTTTTTTAATTAAAAATATGCTTTATATGTGAACTTATCATACATGTGATCTCTGCCCATAGTGTCTGATTCCTTAAATGCTTTTTTTTTTCTTTTATTCATAGCACAGGGCAAGATTCCACCCAATGCAACATTGGTCTTTGAGATTGAACTTTATGCAGTAAATAAGGGACCTCGTAGTGTTGAAGCATTTAATCAAATAGACAAGGACGGTGACAAGAAACTCTCTGAACTTGAGGTAATATGATGCAAATAATTAGAAACAAGTAATTTATAAAATTATAGGTGTGGCTGCATCAGTGTTGTCTTTACGTGACAACTGATTATGTAAGGTTTCTGTGTGCTTACACAAACTACACTGTGGTGTAGTTTGCTGAAATTTGCTTTAATAGGTTAATAAGTCTCACATTTCCTGTAGACAAACTGTATATATAATTTGTGTATATATATATATATACATATATATACTTATATTATTATATATTACTATTATATTATTATTATATATTACTTGTATACCCCCAGTGTCCTTGAAGATAGCTAGATTGAATACTGGCATAAAAGTCACAAAGATTTGACTTCTTTTCTTCTAGATAAGCCAGTATTTGAAAGAAGAATTTGCAAGAGATGGCAAAAAACGTCATCCCTCCGCCCATGATGAAATCTTAGCTGATATATTTAAGAAGAATGACCATGATGGAGATGGCTTCATATCAGCAAAGGAATACAATGTCTACCAACACGACGAACTCTAAGTACTTAAAAAAAATATTTGGCTGTTTTCTGGACACTGAATTCTAAATAATAATACTTTTTCATGGAATTTTTGTATTTTTTTTTATAGTGGAATCTTTTTATATCTTTTAAGGTGACTGTAAAAATCTTATTTTTAACATTCAGCTAAGAAAATGTGTCAGATCTTTCAAAAGAAAGAAATAAAATTGAAGTACACCATGAGCTACTATTTGTGGTTCCTACATGTTCCAATCTACAGTATTGCACAGTAGTCTCCTTTGGTGAAATACTGATGAAAATAATTATTTCTGTTCTATTGAGCACACAAAACTTAAGTATCCTTTGACATAGCTGGAGTGTAACTGATGAACACTTCTCAATCCCCTGTAAAATAAAAATGGAAAACAGAATCCCAGGAATACAACTCTTAGACCACTGCAGGCTTCTAGCCTAGCTTCTTGAGGAAAGGCCATTTGCAGCACTTAACTAGAAAAGACCTTAAAATAGGCAAACTTTAGTCTATGGAATGTTAAGATGAAAACAAATATGTTTTTAAAGCCATTTAAAATAACCTCTTTGATGTAATATTAACATAAAGAATTTGGTATTGAAGAAAAAGCAGTATTTTCAGTGAGTTTTTAAACTTTGACTTAGTGAAATTATCAAGTTAGCCAGTTTATTCAGCAGCACCAAGTTAAAAATCTACACTATCATCATTTAACAGAATGAGGTGGGAGATGATGGGAGCTACTACAGATACTTACAGATACTACAATTACTTAATTACTTGGGAGTCATTCTGGTTTTCCTCACTGGAAAAATACCAAGTAGCAATAGTTAGTAGACAGTACTTACATCTGTTAACTGTTCTGCTTGTGCAGAGCACATCATAACACTTGTATAAAAAACTTCACTCTTCTCACATGAAAAGCAATGCCTGTATTCATTTCAACATATAATAATCAGATGAACACAGTGAAAGTGGCAGCACACATGAAAGAAGCTTCCATAGCTGGGTTATCCTTAAAATAATTTTAAAAGGTGTAAAAAGGTTTTTGCTCTGCCAGGATAAAACTGTGGTGAGAGGTTTAACGGTGCCCTGCCCCAGCCTTGGACACAGCTCTCTGGTGTTCCAGTCTTCAAAATACTCCATTTCCTGAGGCTGGGATGCACCTGTTAAAGACCTAAGTCTTGTTGGAATAAGCAGTTCCATTATTTTCATAAGCTCCCAAACAATTTTCTGCGAAGTAGGGTTTTTTTCTGAGGACATAGAAGAAAGTTAAGAGCAGCTGTGACATAAAATCCAACTGCAGCAGGGGGACTGGCTGGTACTTTTTAATAATCTAAACAAACTTGTTTTTATGATATATATATATATATAAAAATATATTTATAACTTGATACATGGCAACAGCACCCTAATATGAAATTCCCATCCATAGTTCCAGTTGTTCCATTTTGTAACTGAAACATTAGACTGAGCTAAGTCTTAGCATGTTTTTTAATCTGATACTTCAATTAAACATTCATGAGAACACTAAATTATTAACAAATATTCTCATTTAACCGTCATACACCAATGTAGAGAAAGGCAACATTTTGGGGGTTTAACAACAAGTTTGTGTAAACAACATTAAGTTCTAGCATATGTTTTGACATTATGAAAATACTATTTACAAGTATGTTTTTCATTATCATGATAGTGAGTAGGTTCTGGGAAAAACAGCAATGTCAGGGAATTCATGTTCATTTTGAAGTAGAGGTCATTGACTGTGAAGCAAAAATTGGAAGATAACAGCATAATGAAACGTTTTGCACTTCCACTCTTTTGCATTTCACAATTGGAGACATATTTACAAACTCTGAAAAGGTTGTGGCACAGTTATGCCCATGTCTGTGACAACAGGCACTTACCCGGATCAGTCACTTTATTCTCTTATGCCAGAGGTCAAAACAGGGCACGGCATGCAGTCGTACGTACTTGTGTCCATTAAAAGAACATTCCAGGCATCCATAGACCGTCTCCCTTTTAGAACTTCCCATTCCACAAAGGACACAGGGGCCTTTGGGGATGTTGTTATTGAGTAAATTAATTCGGATATGAGAACCGTCTCTGAGATAGCTTGTAGAGAGATCAGTCATGCTTGCAGCTTTTTCATAATAATCTGCAAAAAGGTCCTCCAAGTAAGGATCAGAGTTAGCAACAATTTCCACTACTCCTTTATCTGAAAAAGAACACAAAAGAAAAAGAAGCGGTGATTTATTATTACATTATGATCTGTTGTTTAAAAATGTCAGTTTAATTATAGAAATAACAACTTGTTCACAAAACTGTCCTAAGCATGCCATATAGGTTGCTTCCCATCAAAAACCCTATGTGATGAAAATTTTTCTTCAGCTTCACTTAAGATACTGACAAAAGCCAGATTTTTTTGTATATGACCTATGTAATTATGTTTTTAGAAATTAACCTAAAGGAAGGCATGAGGCAGGCTTCTGATAAATTGGTGCAAAGTCAAACCACATCTGTGTACTTCCCTATTTCTATTTTTGCATTTCTACTTTTATGTTCTAAACATTGTAAATTCAGTTTTATTTCCTATTATTTACAAAAAAAAAAATAAATCCCACTAATGCTTAATATGTTTAGAAAACTCAGAGGACTCCTTGTTAACCTCCTAGCAGATTTCTGAGCATCCAGATGTGCCAGGTAGGAACTACCTACCTTTCCCTTTCTCTTCAGGGACTGACTAGATTGAGTGAAGAACTTTTAGGCAGCTACAGCTCCTGAGATGTATCATACCCACTGAAGAGTTATTCCTCTAGTGTGGACTGGAGCAGCACTGAAAGCTTGCTCCATTGATCCTTTGATCAAGAATGGAATAGAGAAAGGACACCTGAACAGAGCAACCTTTAGGACACATTTACTGCTCAGCATTTATCTTCACACTCAGATCTGCAGATTTCCAAAGTACTTGGACCAAGGAGTGTTACAAGTTAAAGATCTTGTTCCAAAGCTTCATACAGGGATCCACATTTTTGTTGGATGCTATGTTCATATTAGAATAAAAAAAGAGGACTATGATGGTACTCTGGCCATGTCCCTGCCACAGGAACATACTGCCTAAGGAGTACATTAAATTATTGCAGTTAATATTTAGCAATTCAGTAACTTTGGTATTCAAACTTACAGCTTTTGCCCTCAAATATTACCGTAATTATAACTTGTATAATACGAGCTGTAAATGGCAAACACATGAAATAGATTCAGTGTTAAGTTAGCAGTGTAACTATAGCTGTAACTTCAATACCAGTTTATCAACAGCCATGAGTTTTTAGAGCTTCAGAGTTTAATGAACAGATCTGTTATTTCTGAGAGACAGGTTCTCAAATGTAAATTTTAATAACTCTATAATCATTTCAATACTAGAAATTGGAAGGTACATTTTGCATCAACATTTTTCTTTAAACATTCATCTTGCACAGAAATTAAAGAAACAAAGATACACTTTAAAATAAGACATTTGTATATAAATATCAATAGACATACTTCGATGAAACAAATTATTCTTTAATCTCCTTAATTTGGTCAGTGAAGATGATCCAGATTTCTCTCTTTCAAATCCTCCTTTTGCAATTGGAGTCACACAGAGTTCTGCAAAAATGAAAAGTTTTTAAAAGGATTAAATATAAAAGCTATAATTGCACAATTTAATATGCTTTCTAATCAAGAAAGTTAACAGTGATTAAATTTAGCTTTGCTAATGTTTTTAATGGCTAGTACAACTTTTTAATACAAGTCTGTACGCAGTAATAGCCCACAGATTCAAGTAACACAGATTCAATGGGAACTTTTAACTGTCAGCTTTCAATTAACATCCTCAGGGCCTGTTTTGGTGTATACACAAATTATGGTCATGTTAAGGGGTCAGGACAGTCAGTATCATACCAATGGAAGCCCTGATTCTGAAGGACAAACATTTCTGTATTCTTACTTGAAAGTAGAATTGAAACATAGTAAGCAAGGCTGTGAGTTCTGTACCCAACACTTCCAATACCGAATCAACTATTAAAACTTATTTTTAAATAAAAAGAAGTATCTATGTTTCTATCCATAACTTGAAAGAAAAACTTTAAGGTAAGATTTAAGCTATGAAAATTTATTTGTTTCCAATTACTGCAATTATTGCCTTCTAAATAGCTTTAGATTTTTATATATGCAAATGATGTATCATTCTGAAATTAAATCCCCAACAGAAAAAGAATGTTACTGGTTTAGAGGTTCTGTACACTTTTTTCTTTGCTTTTGTCTTTGTACTTGCCTGTTTTATGCAAAACTGATCAGATTATCTAGGAAACCTGTTCCTTGCCAGCTAGAAATATAACTGAGTTCCATGCAACCACAGAATTTAAAAAATACAAAGTCAAGCTAACTTTTAAAAAATGTTCCCACAGCAGACTATTTTCTAGCTCCTGCCTTGTTCATCTTTTCAAGCACTGTTTCTGTCAGAATGTCAGAATACTTATGCGCATAAAATTAAAGCATCCCATTGAATGGGATCAGGGCTTATATATATCAAGAGCTTATGTGTATCAAGAGCAATAAAACAGTTTTAAAAATGCGTATCATTATAAATAATAGCAGTAATGACAGTAATTTACATCACTTACCGAAATTACCATCCAAATGAATGTAGAGTTCAAATACACTAAAAGCAATAGTTGTATGTGCAGGAAAAACAATGGCTTTGTCCCGCCCTTTATAATTCTGATCTTCAATTATGTGAAACTATAATTTAGAGAATGATCAAAAGAAAAAAAGTTATAAATTGAAATGAATAAATAAACATAATACTAATCTTAACTTCATATATTGAGAATTTTAATGCCGGGGGAAACTTTGAAATTGAAGATCAAATTTCACAACTAAAGAATTTTCTGTTAACTGGTTTGCATTTTAATAAGTTTTGATACAGAGAGAGTAATTTGCATCACTTACAGAAAATTATGTGAAGGACTTATAAATAGTAGAAAGAGCGAAGTTAGAAGACTTGTAGGTTTAATTATTCAAACACATCGAGGGGGAAGGGGGAGGAAGAGCATAAGACATGGAACAAGATGTCAAACCTTCAAATAATAACCTGAAATTCAATGTGTTACAGAAGATGACCATAATAATGAAAGAAAGGTTATATGTTTATTAGAAAGTCAAACTAAGAAGTAGTAATTCCGCATTTTTGACAAGGTTTTACCCTAAGCAATGGCTCATTGTCTGGCCATCCCTTCATGCATTTCCCATCCCTCAGTCACACAAGCATTGCTAACTAAAGACCAACTTTAAACCACTTTACATCAGTACAATATCGATTTACTTCAGATTTTTTCTGAGCTTACAATATAAAAATACCATTAAATCAAACCATAAAATTTATAAAAATTAGCTTTTTACGCTTGATCATTGACGTTACAGAACTTTGTCAAACATATTTACCCTCATTGTCTCTCCACGCATTCCAGTATGGACAGTTAATGAGCACTGCCTTGTAGTTCGAATACTTTCCATGACCACACACAAAATTTCCATCCTACTTTTTCTTGATTGATGGACTAGACAATGATCAAAGTTTATTTTTCTAAAATCAAGAGGCAGGAAGGAAATTCAGACATAATTAGCAGTTTACAAAGCAGCTAACTTTAAATCAGTAAATGAATCACCATAATGTCTGTTTCATAACAGTAAAACAACCAACCAAGGAGATATCTGGAAACTTAATACTGGTTTTCAGTGTTTGGGAACAGAAGAACTAAAACATTCAAAGAAAGACAGTATTTTACAGATGTTAGAGAGGATATCTGTGACACCCTGGAAAATTCAAAGCCTGTCCATCTGACTCTGATTTTAGTGCCATTAACTGAAAAAAAATCCTATATCACTTATAAACAATACTGAACAATCATGAAACAAGTGTTTGTAGAAGAATTTCTACAAACAGTGGCATTTCTATAACACTGAATCTTTTTTTCAGAAGCCTAGATACTCCTTCCTCAGCCCCAGTTATTAATGATAATGCTTGCAAGTTACAATTAAACTAGGAAAAGGTAGATATGGAAGGAGAGGTTGCAGATACAAAATGGCATGCACTTCTTGGTAAAAAACAACAAGGTATCAATATATATTTGCAAATGCCAAATGTTGCATAATGCATAGTAAATAATTTACTGGGAAGCACTGTTGGAATTCACTGGGATGACATTGTTACCAAGGGACAATCTTTGAAATATAAAAAAAATAATTACACCTAGAATTAACCACAACATGTTTGACATCTGTGCTAGCACCACAGGAGCACCAAGTTCATTTTCAGTGTCCACAACTCAACAAGAATGCTGGTAAAAGACTGGATTTAAAGAAAAGTCACAGAAGGTTATGAAAAATTCAAGAAGATAAACCTATTTTGATTTTTGCAGAAAGGGCTGTGTAATAGCTTCATAAAACCTCAAAGTACCTACAATGGCAACAATATGTATGTCTCCCTAGTTCATCAAAGGCAAAGAAATCTTATTTCTGAAACCTGAAGTTGGGTAATATTATTCAAAGTAGATTTCAAATTTTCAATACTATGGTATAGCACAGATAGAAGTTTGGATGGACTCTTCCTCTCTGATTTTTTTTTTTTTTCTCCTCAGACATGCACCATAATTCAAGGAATTCAGAAAAATTGCACAGCCTGTATTATATACAGGTCATATGTCTAATCCCAGTGATCCAGCCTGATACCCTTGAAAATATCAGATGGTGACTAAAAAGAATCAAAACCTAACCACTTCAGACTTTCAACCTAACTGTATGAAACAGAATTATGGAAACAGAAATCAAAACACAGAATACAACCTTGTAGTAAGTTCTTTTAGTAATGTTGGTACTTCAACTTCGTGTTTGGTCACTATGCCAAACGAAGCTTTAAAGGCAACAGAATCTGATCCAGCAACATCAAAACCAACATCGTTCATTATCTGATTTCCTCTTTTGCCATTAAGTGAAACATCTGATTTGTCTTCATAGTTGAGCAACTGGTAAGATGAGACACCTGAGTAAAAGAAGATATCCTTTGTGTGATGAAAAGTCTGAACAGAGTATTTTCACATAGCAAGAATAAATGGTACCATTCCTACGTGCATAATCATTTGAAATTCATAATGATATGAAATTCAGAGCTACACTGAGCACTTGTTTATTGGTGTTACTTCTGATGATTGATGGAAAGAGTACATAGGAGTCCTGCATTTGACTAGAGCTATTTTCAAATTTCCGTGTTCATCATTATTCTCCTCAAGAACTTCTACCTGTAACCATGATGCTGATACATAAAAACTACACATGTAGTGTGTTCTGGCTTTAATGACAGAGACTCTGAAACCCAAAATGTCTCAGTGGAGGCCACACAGAATATTAAAACTAGGAATAAAATGAAAGCCACTGTACAAAAAATATTAGGGAATTCTGAATTTTGTCTAGGTGCCATACAAATTTTTCATCATTTTTGCAATACATGAATGAGACATGGGTATGCCAGTAACATTAACTCTGCCCAGGGTCTATGTCAGTTTATTTTGTAGGAAAACAACAGATTAATTCTAACTTGCTTGAAAGTTTGCATTCAATTATTGTAGAATCAAAAGGCAGGTACCAAAGCACGTCTACAAAAATGTCTTTATAATATCAAATAAATTTCCATTACACTAACAGAAAAAATACTAGAACACATTGGTTACCAATTTAAAATGAACACAGGGATTAGATGTCCAGAATCTGGGGTTTACTCCTTTTTTTGTTTTTAATCCTTTGAAGATATTAGGATAAACTGACATTATGAAGTCACCTACTCTGAATCCCCTTTGTGTTTCTTTTTAACCAAAAAGAAGTTTAATATAGTTTCCATAATTCCAGAAGGATTGAAAATGCTTGTCTTTGTCACATAAAAACGGAAATTCAATTACAAACCTCTTTGCTTACGTTAAAGGACAATAATTTTTGCGTATGAAATTTAACCTTTACAGAAAAGACTAGTAAGGTTTTGTGAGACTTTTTAATGAGATTTTGCAACTTTTTTCTCAGACTTTTTGAATTAGATTTTTGGAATTTTTTTCATTCAGGACAAGCCAGCTGAATTCTCCTGAATGTAAGACATAGGATTAAAATTTTTCTTATCATGTTTGTGTCCTGAAATCCCCTCTTGTGGGATCAAGTGGTATTTCTGTCTTCCTATGCTCTGACTAGTTTGTCTCAGTAGAGTTTTCAACTTGTGCATTTGTTGTGCAATTAATATAATAAATAATTTTGTCAGAATTGACATCTTAAAAAAAAATTAAAGGAATGAAACTGTTTTGAGAAAACAGAGCACATAGACATGAATTACACACGTTTCCAAGTGTGTACAGGAAGAAATAGGCAGTATAGTTCAATTTTGCACCTCATAATTCTCATAGAATCTCCTCAAATTTTACTCTACTGCATAGAAAAGGCAATTTAAAAACAGTTAAGCTCTTTAAATACACCACAAAGGTTGCAAACATGGAAAAAGTCCTATGAAAATCCAATTACATCAGTCAGATATAATAGCTGTTTTCAAATACTTCTGCCTGTGCAGAGCTCAGTTCAGCACCAGGGACTGCCAGCATGGAAGAGCTGCAGAACTGAGGCCATTCTTACACACCTGAAAATAAGTATACAGAGAAAGGAGTACAATTCTAAACAAATCCTATGCAGCAATGAATCAACATACATCAGTACATCTGTCAAGAATTTGTGGTTTGTGAAAAAACAAGGCTTAAGTCAATTTGTTTAATACTAGTTTCAGATAATATCAAGGCTTTTTAGTATAAATTACTTTCATCACTCTTTTTCCAGAAAGTCCTTTTTTTTTTACCAATTTTATTTTTACTTTTTAAAAAAAAATATTTATTACATGACAAAGCAAGAAAAATATTATTGACCATTTACTGAGGAAACATCATACTACCTGCAGAGTTTAAACCACGTTTACTATGTATTTACTAGAAGATATCCATTTTTCCACTTTGAAGAAAGATAAAAATCTTACCTGCAGAAATTTCCTTCTCCCCTTGAAGAATGTCTTTTAATGTGAAAGGTGTTGAAGCAAATTTAGATTTTTTTGAAAGTGAACATTTTCTTTTTTTAATCACAAGGCTCAGAGGTTGGTATCTGTCAGCTTCACTGAGGCTGGGCACTGGAACTAATCTTCCTCCATCACCAACCTGTTTAACAAAGTTTTTGGTTGCAGCAGCAAACATATTATGACATTAATAATGATAATAATAAAAAGCTCCGTATCAAGTGTAGCTTCCAGACTTGGAGCCCATGTTCAATTCTTTTTATATTGTTCTTGCAAACAAATTAACATGCTTTGAAAAACAAAATCTGTCAAGCTGCTTTTTTTAGGCTGAATTATATTTCACTTTTAAAGAATTAACAGCATCTTAGCTACCTAATTTCTATGGTATACTGTTTGAGACTTCTCTCAGGGACCTTCAGTTAAGCTCTCTAATTCTTCCTGATGAATAATGAATGACCAGTGTAAACTGAGAGGGAAATGGCACCCTTTTCTTGGCAGTTTATTACCACTCTTTAAAAAAATCAATTTTTTTTTTTTATTTTTTTCTGTTATAGAGACAGAAAACTAACTTCCATAAACTTCCCACTAGGAGTTATTGGTGTACTGCTGTTTGTTGGTTCCTTGCTGCAGCTGAATTCTGGTGTTTTAGCAACACCAACAAAGCAGCCCAGACATGCTCTGGGAGGGCACTGGAATTACACTTTGATGAGCACAGGCAGCTCTGTGAGACGGTGTTACCTTTCACAGTACTGGCATAACCCACCAGGGAGAGCTCAGCTGGGGACTGAGCACTGTGCTGGGCTCAAGTGTAAGACCAGAGCAGGCTCGGACGGGTGGAAATACCAGTGGGCTCTCATCATTTGTTATTTATCTCCTATGGACTTAGCTGTCTGTGACCCAAGTGCTAGGCTTGAGCTGCATGCATTTAGCTCAGACTACTGGAAACCTCATTAAATTGTGAGAATTATGCTAAATAATAAAAGTAAAATTGCAGAAAGGAGTGTCAGTACTGATAGAGGAACGAGGAACAACTCAAGGATCCAAGATACAAAGCACCAGTGTAAAAGGACAGAAAGTTGAAAAGAAAGACAGACAGCAGAGAGCACTGTGGATGATCTGTGAGAGAGGCAAAGAAGCTGACCCACCCTCATGTAAACAATTACTTGATTTTCTAGTAAGACTGATGAACACAGAACTAGCTAAACCTCGTAGCACTTCTTCCAGAGACTCCTTTTGCAGTTACAGTAGGTAAAGCATCAGCCACAGGCTCGTAAATTTACAGTAGGAAAATTATCCCTGGTTGCCAGGTAACAACTGGTTTGATTAGCTTTTTTTTCTGAAGTAAGGTTTTCATGTGAAAGTATCTTAAGGACTGTTTTTATAATATGAACACTTAATTAAGAATTTACCACTTCCATAATATGTTTGAAGGTTCAGAGTATCAGGGAGTCCAGCAACATGGCAAAAAGAGAAGGGCATTACTTCAGCTATCTAAGATGAAAGGAAAGGCTGCTGGATCTTTCTGCTTACTCTAGAGGGTGCTGAAAAATCAAGACAGGTTATATACAGACTTTGAATTGAAAGCATGGGAAAGGCTGCAATTAATTCTGGCTGTAATTCATACTACACTATCTGAAAAACCCTGTGCATATTTACTCAATCAAAACACATTAACAGAACTGAAAAAGCTTTCAAAGGGAAGGAAAATCTAAGGGAACTTTAAAATTAAAATTGCCTGTTGATCCTTGGTTTAGATGAATCCTGTATAGATACATTTGACAGGTTACTATTTTTCCTACAAATTATGATGATCATCTGGCACTGTTTATTCAACATGCATTTGTATTTTTCTTACTCAGTATGTGGTCATAGATCATACTCAATCTGATCTAGCTAATTTTGATAATGAATAGTTTCATTTGATACGTTTACATGCTATTCCCATTACTCTAAGACCCTATAATCCATCATAAATGCTTCAGCAGATGTTTGTTTTGTCCTCATGCCACAGATCAGAGAACAGGAGTCCAAGTACAGTAACACTGCCATATTCTGAAAACATTCACTAATTTTGCACATCCAAGTGAAGAATCTTAAGGTATTTCCCCGCTCCTTCAGCACTAGACACTTTTGTACTTGGCACATGTAGGCACTTGGTACCTGTGAACTTCAGTGTTTCTGCAGCCCTGGCGTGCTCTCATTCTGCGTAACCAATAAACTAAAAACATTTAATTTCCAAGTGCATAAGTTATGCCTGAGTCATCACTGGAATAAAAAAAAATCTTGCCTTGTCTTGCCAAGTAGTGCAGATGGAAGTCCTTGCTGACATTTGCTCCCTGGGGAGGGTCTGGGCTGAAATGTTCCCTCGGCACAGAGCCACAAAAGGGCACTGAGCAGGCCTCCCCTCTGCACCACCCACAGCCCTCCACTGAAAAGCAGGGGGACTTTTCTAGCCTGATTATCTGCCCCTGGAGGGAAGAGTGAGAGAGTTTATTTCCTACATAGGAAGAGTTCTGTTTTTTCATCGTTGTCTTAGTCATGGAGTAGTAACATAGCAAGTATTAGCTATATATAGCTGAGAATGTTTTATGCTTAAATATTGCAATTTTTTCCTTACATCATATTGATATGAACATGGAGATTTTTTAAGAGTCAAATCTAGACAATACTGCTCTCTGCATAGTGTTGGAAGATGCAGAAGATTTTTTGTAGTTAATAGATAGTTCCATAATGATTTTTGGTTTAATATTAGGAAGTTATCCTACATTATCCCTTGCAGGAATGTTGGTAACCTGTAATTATAGAGTGTCTAAAGAGGCATTTATAAGGTGATCTAAGGTGGTGCAAACTAGAGATTTGTCCAAGGAACTGAAAATATGGAATTATTTCATTATTTTCAATCCAGAAATCTTAAACCATCTGTAATCCACTTGAACTGATCTGATTTTAATTTATTGCTTGTCACAGACAACCATATCATAAGATTAGCATGATTATCCACTTGAAGGGAGAAAAGAAATCTTCAGTGTTAACTGACTGGATAAACTTAGTTGGTGTTTCACTTGAAAGGATTAAACCCACAATCTACACCTAATTATGCTGGTAATTTGTTTAATATCTTCTTAGTGTATAAAAAGATACCATCACTTGCCAGATCTCCTGGAAACTGAACAGTTTAAGTGCCTTTGAACTGTATTATGTTTACCTACAGATCTCTGCAAAAGAACAAGTGCAAGAATTTGACATATTAAAAACAGAAAAAGAAAATGCTACTGAAAAAATTACTTGCAAAATTCCGTAACTTTCCAGCATATGGCATGAGAATTTCCCTAGAAAGACAGGATCTGTGCAATACAGACACTGGTACATTTCAGGAGGTAAGAAAAATAACATTTTATGGGACAAAATATGGTCCTTATTACATACACACTTTGTGGTTTTTTCCAACAACCTGAGTGAGTTTAACAGCATTTGACTTATTTGGTTTTTATTTTTTGAGGTAGCATTTGTCTAGAGATTCTCATGTATGAGCAAAATTGGGTAGTTTAATATCATGACTTATATAACTTCAGAGCTCCTGGATACAAGTTCTGGTGGCTGTTTTACATGCTCTTCCACAGACTTACCTTTCAGATTCCAGACCTTTGTTCATGGACATACGGATTACTTAATCTATATTTCATGTGTCCATCTTTAGAGTCTATGAAATGTCTCAGCTTTTGCTTCTTTGTAACTGTCCCAGTATTAAGGGCAATATTATCAATGGACAGATGGATGTGTTAGCTGTAAAGCCTTTAGCAAAAAGAAATGTAAAAAGTAAAAAAAAAGTAGTCCTCCAGGGACAGATTTGACAAGATAGTATGTTTGCACTTACCCCCTGTGAGAAGCAGGCACATCTTTCAACTCAGTCTGGAAACTGACAGCATCTTTTTGCTCAGTAAGAAGATATTAAATAAATTACCAGCATAATATGATGTAAATTTTCAGTTTAAAGTTTTCAATACCAGCTCAGTTTATCCAGTCAGTTAACGCTTAAGATTTCTTTTCTCCCTTCACCTTCCAGCTTTTATTTGTTACATAAACATTACTATATACAACAAAGGTACTTTTGTCACATAGCATTATTAGCTTGTGAAGACAAATCTAGAAAAAACGAGGCAGTGTGACCTAAAGAATGTTGAATGCTTCCCTTCCTTTGAAGGATGATGCCCAAATGGCTAAATCCTTTTTAACCAGTATCTGTCAGCAGGTGTGCCTTTGTGAGAGAACACCTTTGTGGGCTTCCACCTGTATGAGGATGTAGAACTATAGACGTTCTGTGCCACTGTATTTGAAGAAAAGTTACAAAACAAAGGATTTTTCGACTATGTTATAACTCACATTGTCCATGCTAAGCTGTCTGATGGGTGCTGGTACAGTTACATCTATATGAAACTTCCTTCAGTCATAGACAGCTTGTTCCTTGCTGCTTCTCCTTATGTTTTAAACTGAGCAGCAGAACTGCTTTCATTTCTGGCATTGACACGAGCTGTTCACTGATATTGGGCAATTACCCTCTGTCTGTGAAACTTAGAGAGTAAGTGGCTGTGCTAATGTACCCCTTCTCAGGGAAGAACTGATTATTACCACTACAAAGTACTCTCAGATCAGGTCTCAACTGGATACAGAGTATTTATAAACAGATAACATTAAATCAGTAGGGCATGAAAGAATTCAGCAGCCTCCTTCATAATCACCTCTATGTTTATTCAGCCTGTTCCTTTTCATGCTACAAGAATATCTTCATCTAGTTTCCTAATTCATTCTTTTCACACATGTAGGCATAAAGTAATAGACTTCCAGATATTAAACATTTTAACAGACAGGTGACATAAAAAATTCTTGTCACTAAACATAAAAAGTAGCCTTATACTTTTATTCTAGGCCAGTTGAACAGCATTTAAATGAGATCAGCTCTTGAACTAGAACTGAAGGATGGACATGCTTTTGTGCCTTATGTCCTGAATTTCTTTGACTGCTAAATGTAATGCAAGGCCCTCAGAAATAACCTACTTAAAGAGAAACTTAAAAAGACACTTGACACCTTAAGTTTTATCAGTTGAAAGAAATAATCCAGCATCCTTACCAGAACTTGTATTCCATCTTCAGTCCAACAAGTAACTTTTTGAGAACGTTTAA